GGTCTGAACAGCTGCTCCATGTTTACCCCTTCTCTTGTATCCTGGGTGTTTTCCACGAGGCGTGGAGCCCAACTTCCCATCAGATTATGAACAGCTGGCCTTTACTTCTGCCTCTGCCTCAGTCTTTCCTTTTCTCTCAGCTTTACCTCCCGGGTCTTAAATGTGCTTTGGTGCATTGGGGACCAGGTACTGGGTAGACGCTCTACCCCAAATTATCTCAGGTTGACTTCCCGAAAGCTGTGGGAGAGTACAGGTGAGACCCAGAGTGATGGCCCAAGGTGGCACCACTAGGAAGTGCCAGAGGCAGGACTCAAACCCTGGTCAGTCCAACATCACTCATTCCATATTGTAACTGGCCCTAACAAAGATCATTTTCAGGCTGTAGTGGACATTTTAACTCCCATGGGGCTGGAAGCACCATCTAAAGACTTAGTGAGAAAAAAAAAAGGATAGAGAAATTAATGCATTTGGAGCCATTTCTAAAAGTGTAGCTCCCAGGGCCAAGGCCAAAATCTGTAATGATCTAAACACAGGGAAAATGTATTATTTCCACACGGTCAACCCTTAACTGATCACCCCAAGCATTACTGAGGACAAGAGATCATAGTGGATTTGGATTCACTGTACTCTTCTTGTCTTACAGTGACTTCCCTACTGCTGTCACAGCCTTATCTCCCTGCCCGTGGCAGGTGTCCTCTACAGTAGGGGTGTACTGGGTAGACGCTCTACCCCAAATTATCTCAGGTTGACTTCCCGAAAGCTGTGGGAGAGTACAGGTGAGACCCAGAGTGATGGCCCAAGGTGGCACCACTAGGAAGTGCCAGAGGCAGGACTCAAACCCTGGTCAGTCCAACATCACTCATTCCATATTGTAACTGGCCCTAACAAAGATCATTTTCAGGCTGTAGTGGACATTTTAACTCCCATGGGGCTGGAAGCACCATCTAAAGACTTAGTGAGAAAAAAAAAAAGGATAGAGAAATTAATGCATTTGGAGCCATTTCTAAAAGTGTAGCTCCCAGGGCCAAGGCCAAAATCTGTAATGATCTAAACACAGGGAAAATGTATTATTTCCACACGGTCAACCCTTAACTGATCACCCCAAGCATTACTGAGGACAAGAGATCATAGTGGATTTGGATTCACTGTACTCTTCTTGTCTTACAGTGACTTCCCTACTGCTGTCACAGCCTTATCTCCCTGCCCGTGGCAGGTGTCCTCTACAGTAGGGGTCCTTAAATACCACCCTACCCTGTTGTCTCACTGCCATACAGGCCTAGGCCTGACCTCCCTACCCAGACTCTCTATCTTACTTTCATATCCTGTTTTGGAGGTAAACTGACCTGAGTTTACCCAGATCTGCTGTGCCAGCAAGGAAACCCTAAACAATCTGGTGAACCTCTCCAAGTTTCAGATAGCTCATCTGTGAAAGGATCTCAAAGGATCAACCCCACAGTGAGCTACACTTGACGAACTATAGGAATCACATGAAAACATACATGTTGTGCTTTGGGCACCGTGGATGGTAACTGCTAACGCTCGCTATTATTTGCATTCTCTAAAGAGTCCTGTAGAAGATCAGAACATCCATGACTGGTATTTGTCTGAAATAAACAATCAGGAAAGGAAGTGACTGTGAAAGCACTACACCTCCCAGATCCAAACAGATATCATTTTGTGTTTGCTTTAGATAAATGAGCCTCTCTCCACCATGTGACTTAGCAGATGCCTACACATGAGTGTGAGTACAAAGAATTATACAGACCTGAACTTGGATCCTCATTGGAAAACTTTCAACTGGAAGAACCTATAGTTTGCATCCAGCATCATTAAGACTATTTTGAAGACAAGCAGTCTGAGACCAGATCCGGTTCACCAAGGTTCCCCAGGGACAGCTCATAAAAGCTAGAAGAGGAGCCTAGCTTCACACAGGGAGCCGACCGAAGCAGCAGCTGCTTGCCTCTCCCAACCCCACCCCAACCAGGGGTTGGCAGAGAGGAAGGAAGTCATGGGCTGACAGCACCATCCAGATGGAGGCTACTTGCCTGCCTTCCATGTACAGTCCAAAGCGTAAGACCCTCGTGTCTAGGCAGCCTCCCCCTCTCAGGGGGATGAGCACACCTTTTGCTGGATGTTCGGAGAGAACTTCTGCAGTGTGTTCCCCACATTCTTGGAGCCAGCAGAGCTCCTCCTGCTTGGGCCCCAAACCTCTCATCAGCTAGTTCCAGCTATCATGCACATCCCGTAAAACCTCTCAGCTCTGCAATTTACCAAACCACAGCCTCAGAATTCGCCATTAGTGGAGGAAAGACTGGAAGAAGCCATGCTTCTCCAGTGTAGAGGGTTTCCAGAACGTAGGCAACTTGGGTGCAGCATGTCCTGCCAGTTAACCACATCAGAGTGTCTGACCCAGAGCACTTGGGCTTCTGGTGTGTGGTGTGCGCCGTGCAAGGGCTAAGAGAGGAGGAGATCCTGAGTCTCAGAGGCCACAGCGTTCACCAGCCCATTCCTCCTACCACTGTTGGCCTCACTGGACCCTTTCCATTACTGGGCACCCCAATGTGTAGGAATTTCTCAACCACCAGATATTTGTCCTCCTGGTCAACCCCAACCAGACTTAGGGTACGCTCAATGAACAAAACCCAAACCATGGGCAAAATGCCAGTTAGAACTAGATGCTACAACGTACTGTATTGAAAATTATTTTACCCAATCCGGCTGTCAGTTTCCACATCTATGACATGAGAAGAGTTGAGCCAGATCACTCATCGGATCCCAGCAACTCCATAATTCCACAACATATGACACTTTCTCCACTCATTGTTTTTCAGAACCTTAGTTCAGATCTCTGCATGGCCCCATCTGTTCAGTGACATCACTCCCGGCTCCAAACATAATGTCATTGATTCTTATATAGGAAGCGGAGATGTCCTGGGACACACTTTGTCCGCAAAAAGAGAGGAAATGATCATGTGAAGGGAACCAGACAGGACTTCTTTTGTATTTTGCACAGAGAACAAGTTATTATCAATCTTAAACCCTCAAACCTTTCTTCCTTTTTTTGCCAGACCATTAATAGCTGCTTTTCAAAAATACTTTCTTAGTCAGAATCTCACCAATCATAAGCTACCATTTAATGAATGCTTGTTACATGCCAGGAACCGAGCGAAGTGCCTTCCACGGATGATCTCATTTAATCCTCCCGACAGCCCTATGAAGTACATACTATCATTAACCTCACTTTAAAACGAATAAACTGAGGCCCACGGAAGTTTAAATACTTTACCCCGGGTTACAGGGCTAGTTGCTGAGCCATCCTTTGAGCAAGACCTTCTTAAGTTCAGAGCCCCAGCTCCTAAATACCTTTCAGCACTGATGGCAGCTGGTCCCCAGCCTTGTTAGAAACGCTGTTGGTTTGTGACCAGTGTGCCCCTCATCTGTGACCTCAGGCATCATTGGTCAGAGCTAAAATCTGATGTTTCATCTAGAATCCAGAGCTGGAAACACACCTGACGGTCTCAGAGCAGAGAGTGCCTGCCATCTGTTGAAAGCAGTGCCAACCTCCACTGAGAACTAGAAGAGAGAACGCTTAAAACTTGGCCTGCAACATTTGGAAAAAGAGGTTAGGAAAACGGATTCAATAAGCCCTGGGAGGTGCAAACAGACTTGCATCTCTGGAGCAGGGTGACCACCTGGTGACCGAAGCCCTCCGAAAAGAGCTTTCTGGTAATGAGAGTCTGATGACACAATGAGAACGACCCTCTAACGATGTCAAGGAATATCCTCCACAGGCACCCACCTCCCTGCCTGGTCAGGAGCCAGCCTCCACAGTAACCTCCTTGCCAACCTGAGTCAGCCCCATTTGCTCTGCTGTAAAGAAGCCCAAAGTTCAGAGCTAGTGGTGATAAAGAGAGCAGCCTGAGCTGACGTTACCACAAACTTTCCAACGCGGAAATAAAGGTGGCAGAGATCAACCTGCACTCTGGGGCAGCACCCCAAGGCCTGCTTTAATTGTTCAAAGTTCTGCATCGAGCATTCTGAATAGGCCATGAAATGCCTAATTTGCAAATAAGATGCGCTTCTGCTGACCCGCCTCCTCTGTGCTTGGGAAACAGGGCTGTGGGTCTTTTCTATCTCAAGTGCAGGAGCATAGACAGGCGTCCTCAGGCGTCAAGGACACAAGTTAACTTCGACAGTGTGAAGGATGGGAAGACAGGAGTCGCTGAGATGAAAGAGGGACTGTCACTCAGGCACTGAGCTCGGGCCCAGTCAACCTTAGCTCTTCTCATTAAGTTGGGGGAAGGACGGGGGAGGGGCAGTCGCTGTTCCTCGGAGACCACAACAAACATTTGCCTCCTCGTGTCTGGAGATGGAGCATCACTTAAGAGGAAATGAACCCGGTTAAGGGTCACGTCCAGAGGAGGGATAAAAGGAAAAGCCACAATTCTCCTCACACCGACGGACACAATGGCTTTAAGGAGGAAATCAAAGCTCAGCGCCTAGGGTGGAGGTGGGGCAGGGGGCGCGGCAGCTTCCTTCGGCCCCCAGACCCGGGCCTAGGAGGGCAGCGACTGGGGAAGGCAGGAGGCGGAGCGCGGGGCGTCCTTCCCCTGGGCAAGCCTCCGAAAGCATCTCTGGCTGTGTGAGCGGGAGCTGCCCGCGCCCCCAGGGAGGCCCGGGAAGATGCTCTTTCCCAACGGAGCTGCTCCACGAGGGGGTGACGAATGCACACCCCTCCATCCATCAACGCTCAGGCGGACAGATGACTTCACCGTAGTAACAGACAAGGGCAGCCACTTGCCAATTCCAAAGCCAAAAAAAGAAACCGGGGAGGGGGGATGGAAGCTTCCTGGAGATCACAGACCTGCGAAGGAACCCCAGAGGCCAGGGCTGCCCAGTGGGCACTCAACTGCGGGTCTTAACTGCCAGGAGGGGCGAGGGGCCACCTCGTGCCCCTCCAGGGAATCTCTGGCAACCCCCGCAAGGGGACCAGTACTCACATAGTGTTTGGAAGGGTTCCTTCGCTTCTCCACGTCCACCACGGTGGCATCTTGCACGCAGTAGGCGAGCATCTTCCCCACAAAGCGAGTGGCGCCCCCCGGCGGCGTCACCTTCTCATCCCGGCCGGGCTCCGGCTCCTTCAGCTGCCCAGGTCCCCAGGACCACCACCACTCCGACCCTGCGCGCCAACAG